TTTCTAGTTCCCTGTCTAGAACTTGTAATGCTAATTACTCTTGCCTTTACTTCTCCTTCACATTTCCTATTCAGGATTCAAGGACTTTCTTTCCCCACCTAGAGATAAGAGGTATGCAATTTGGGATTCTTTTAGATATACCCACTGAAGGGGTACTCCAATTGCCACACCCTGCGTCCCTGTTCAGCATGAAGAAGCCAGAGGGGTCTGTGTCCTGATTCCATGTATGGGTAATCTGGGTAACCTCTTCAGAAGATGGTGTGATAAGAATAGGAGGTAGGAATTGGCTAGGCAGTTAGGGTAAAAAGACCCCAAAGAAAAGTAGCCAGTTTCTTGGCTAAAACTCACAATGTCCTTGAGCCTCGAAGCAACATACTCCATTCCAAAGGCCAAAAATGTCAAAAATATTTGGGAGCTTTTATCTAATCCGTAAAAGATTTTAGGGTTACCTCTTCAGAGGAGGAAATGTTAGAGTAGCCAAAAGCCCCATTTAAAAAAAAAATCAGAGAAGGGAAAAAAATGGAGATCTAGTTAAAACATCATTCAATTTTATGTCTTATAGGATTTTTAGTGAGTACAATATTGTATAACTGTGTTAATTCAACTGTGAACCTAAAAATTTAGAGCCAACTTTGAAAGAGATGCAACTCAGCTCTGGAAACTATTGAATATGTCAATGTTGTTGTAATGAAATGCTTCTTTTAATTATGTGGTTTTTAAATAAATTTTTAAAAAGAAAAATATTATTTGATGATAAATAAACATAAAGCTCTGAAGAACTTTCATAAGCTTATGAGGCCCCAGGTAGATGAGAAAAGGCCATGTAACAGACAGAACCACAGTGCACACCACTCCAGGAATCTTTCCAAATGCACTTGGAGAAGCAGGGCCTTTGGCACATTTCTGTGCTGAGGTAGAATCAAGCTAACCTAGAGCTTCACCACATAAGAACTGCGTGCTTCTAGGGAAGCCATTTAATTTCTCTATACTTAAAACTTCTCATTCATTTTTTGTATGAAATACATAAAAATTAAATAAAAATTTAAAAGCCTTCTCATTTATAAAATGGAGACATATGGGGGCTTCCATGTCTCAGGGGAAAAAAGCTCAGCAGATAAAAGCAATGGCCAGTCTCAGGGGATCTGACGCCCTCTTCTGACCTCCGTCAGCACTACACGACACGGGTGCACTTATATCCATGCAGGCATAACACTCATACAGATAAAATAAAATAAATATTTTAAAATGAAGACATGAGTGACACATCTATGGTAATCATGTCTGTAGATGTCTTGGTCCACATAAGAACTCTGACAATGGCTTACCTCCCTACCCACTTTCCTTCCTTCCTTCCGTCCTTCATTTTCTACACATTTAACCATCATCTCAAGATTACCATTCAGCCAATTTAAAAAAAATTATTTATTATTTTTATTTTATGTGTATGAGTGTTATGCCTACATGTAGGTAAGTACAGCCGTGTCGTGCAATGCCTGTGGAGGTCAGAAGAGGTTGCCAGATCCCTGGGACTGGAGTTGTGGACAGTTGTTAGCTGCCATGTGGGTGCTGGGATTCGAACCCAGGTCTTCTGCAAGAACAACCAGTGTTCTTAACGTCTGACCCATCTCTCCAGTCCCTCAGCTATTATTTTAATAAATAATTACTGAGTGAATGCCCTCTTTATGCCAAGAAGGCATAAAGAGGAATTCAACTGAACCAAAGACTGAAAATCTCAGAATTCACAGAGAGTTCGTCCTAGTACTACAGAGAAATGTTTAAGAAAAAGTACACAGGCCGGGTCTGGCTGAAGCACATCTCCGATATGTATGGGGCAGCAATCTTAGACGAGGGACAGGAAAACCTGCACAGGTAAGCAACATCAGCAGAGACTGGAATACAGTACGGGAGAGGGGCCTGGGATTACATGGGGAACCCAGAGCAAGTCTGGCACATTCCAGAATAGCAGGCAGGCTGGAAGGCAGATGGGAGGTGCAGAAGATCCCAATGGGGGATGGGATCAGATAGGTAGGATGGAGCAGGAAATGGGGGGGCCTCTCTGGCCACAGTGGAATTCTGGGTTCAAGTCTGCTTTGCCAAGATGGGAAGGAAACAGAGGGTTTTGATGAAAGCTGTGGCACGAAGATCCCTTCTTTTAAAACATCACACCACTGGTATGTGAGAGCACCCGGGTGAGGGGGAGACCACCACCGCCTCAGGAAGCAGGGCAGGTGATGAAGGTGTGGCATGTACTTGTAACTCTTCCACATCTAGCCTAAGACAAAGTAACTTCACAACGAAGGTATTTTCTTTCATACCAAGTTGAATTTACAAAGGAACGAGCTCTGGAAAGGAAAAGGTACCGTTTAAATGATCAAAGTTCTTTTACCCATCACTTAACTAATAAGCATACTGGGTTACTTACAGGAATATGGATGAGGGTTACCTTCAGGAGCATGATTAATTCAAAGGCAGCTGCATCGCCACAATCCCCACTACAGCAGATATGACAGCTCAGCTCAAGAAGCTCCCTGCCCAAAGCCCAGAGCGCTCATTCCACAGTCGGTCCTACCCTACCCAGCAGTTCCTCACTGCAGACATAACTTGGGTCACAGGCCTACTTGGTTTCTGACGCAGATGAATCAACAACTAGGTACAACTGGTTTGCTGATTCTCTTGACCACAGATGGTAGGAATGTATTTCATCAAAACTAAAATTAAGAAATAAAAAAGAAAGATACTAGAAGGCCAGATGCAAACCTGTAAGTTCAGCACTTGGGAAGCCTGCCTGGGATATATAGCAAGACCCTGTCACTAACAAACACTAGATACAAATTTATTTTTTACTGGTACCCCTAGCTGTCCTGTAATTTGCTATGTAGACCAGGCTGGCCTCAATTTTATAGAGATCCACCTCCTCTGCTGGGATTAAAGGTGTGTGCCACCATACCCAGCTACAAGTTTATTTTTAAAGGAAAATCTCCAATAGAAATAATTTTAAGGAAGATAAAAGCAAATGGCTCTGATTGAAACACAACTTACAAATTTAGAGGAGCTGCTGTGGCTTAGAGCTAGAGCTCAGGCCTAGCATGCCTAGCCCTGGATTCAATCTCCAGTACCAAAAATAAACTAGTAAACAAAGTTCACAGTGTTTGAAAAGCACAGTTTAGGATTTCTGTCCTGTGGACCTAGAAATCCTACTTTCTGAAGAGACTTCTTACATACTCGACACTGTGATGGCGAAGAAGCTCACCTATAAATGGAATGGAAGCCAAGGAGTCCGCCGGGGGACTGGCACTTGAAGCCTTCCTTTCCTCCATCCTTTTCATGTGGACCTCTCTGCGAGCATCGTTAGGCAGCCAGCATGTGGCATCTGAGCCAGTCTCTTGGTCATTCACTGCCAAGATGTAAGACTGATGTCTCAAAGGCTGGGGTGTCTGGCGACCGGAGGGAGGTTTTTCTCTTAAGATGACAGATTCTTTATTATCTAACACATCTGGCTGCTGAATCTCGGCTTCCTGTGAATTTACATCTCCATTCCCTGGGCTGGTAGATAATTCTAAATTGTTCTCATTGCTCTGTGGGCAAGTCTTAGCAGAAGTTCCGGGTGATGATGGGGATTTCTCAGGCTCCCGTTGGTGATCTGGGGTGCTTTCAGGCCTGAGCCATGTCTGCTGGCTCAGTAGGCCGTGCTGATGCACGTGATTTACGGGCCTTTGGTCTTTTATGGAAACCAATGAGTTCTGGCTGAAGGGTGGTTTTGAGACAGGTGGAGAAGGCGCTTTCAGGGAATTACTTCGAACTTTCACAAGTGGGGACCTGTCCTGTGAAATAGCCCGTGGCAGTGACATCCCGCCAGCACTTTGACAGTTTCTGCTGGAATGCAGGGATTTTGTATCTGGAGGAATCTTTTTCAACTGTGACCCCACCCCTCTTCCAATCATTCGCCTGTTATCATTATTCACAATGCTTGGAGCCACAGTCAAATTCGAACCCCGGAAAGGTTTGTGAATTTCTTGCTGCCGGTGTCTTTCATAAATACCTCGCCTATCATCCTGTTCAGTAAACCCACTCCACTTATAAGTCTGTTTTCGCTCCCCATTTGAGTCGGATACTGGACTTTCAGAGTTGGCGTTTTCTGCAGTTTCACGCTGTCCCTCAATGTAATCCCACGAGTGAGTCCTATGATTACTGAAACTAACAGATGCCGAGGCCAGCGCTCCCTGAGACGCACTTCTTGGACAATACTTCATCAGCACGGAATCCTCCAGCCTTTCCTGAGACACACTGCGCTGCCGGATCTGAACAGACTGGGGCACTCGATCGTGAGAGGTGCTCCGACGTCGTACCTGCAGAGTCGGTCGGGTGGGGACCACCTGGTTATAATCTGTTGTGCTCTGGGATGCTGCTCTTAAGCTGTCCAATCTTTCCTGAATCGTCCGGCAGCCTATGTGCAGTCGTCTGTTATCGATGTACTCTTTGTAAGTCTTATAGTTTTTCCAGTCTATGTGCTGATGGGAGCTCGGGGAATAGTGATTGACAGGCACCGAAGGAGAATCCACAGTTTGAGTCCTACTGCTTGAGATTCCCTCGGAACGACCACTGTAATTTCCAGACTTGAGCAAAATTCCAGAAGGTTCTAATGATCTGGAGCCTGCAGTCTGATGAGTCAGACGGGCGGTGGGAACTGATGATGGCGACGTGGTTCTCGACACTGTTTTTAAAGAGACCTGCTCACCGACACCAAACCTGACTTCTTCGGTTCTGTGCGAAGGACCCGTGTGGTTGTTCCTATTGGACAGCACGTCGACGACCTTCTCAGAAGGCACAATGACAGTCCTCACGCTTTCATTGCAAACACACACGGCTGTGTTTGATTTTGCAACGTCCGTTGGTGATGGAGGCACTTGGATTTCCATTCTGTAGGCCCTGCCAGGTTGGGTCAGGACTGGTGTACTGGTCTGCTGTTTGTTCAATAATAAGTTTGGAGGAGCTATTTCAACCGGCTGTGCCGCAGCTGAAGGAGCAGACGGCGGCCAGGGGTAGCAGACCGCTGGAGGCTCAGGTATGTTCCGGGCATTGCCGCTGTAAGCTTCGTTGCCTTTCAGGTAGGCGTCTTGAGAATAGGCCTGGGTGGAAACCAGAAAACACTCACTGCACAGGCAAAAAAGAACAATAATTTTCATGCTTGCAGTTCGGGACTGCAAACTAAGTGAGCCCTGCCCTATTCCTAAATTATGCTCACTATAAAATGCATGCAAAATACAACATAAGGGTACTTTACAAAGTTATTCTTGTAGAAATCAAATAAATTTTAGAATGTGCCACAAATACAAACTGCAGTTGTTTTCTCAAAAGGTGTGAGACCTATCAAATTTTCCCTAACCAATGAGATGTAGCTGCTTCTAAAATCTCCCCATTCAAGCTTTAAGATTTTTCAGCCGTTGACAGGTTAAATGGCTGCCTAATAAATCCCAGCAAAGGGATATTCTTGGCGTCTGGCAGGGAGATGGTAAAAATATTAAAAGTCTTATCCAAATACATCTTCCTTTAAGTACTAATACTATAATAAATTAAACATAATTTATTAAAATGGTTTGTCAAGTAACCATTAGAGAATTTTTAATAATCCATCTTAGTAAGTTAAGCCCTTAAACAGTTATGCCAAATATTTTAATAGTTAAAATAAGTGAATGTACATGTTTAAGAAATTAAGTACATACATATTAAAAGCAGAAAAACATGAAAAAGGCAGTTCATCTTTCTGAATATAATTTAAATCTTTTATTTTAAGCTAATGCAGAAATTACTTTGTAGATATTTATTTTGTCTCTTTTACTTATAAGGCATTTTTTCTATCACTAGCAGACATGCATTATAAAATTATCTAGCAATGCTTTTGAGAATTTAAGAACAATTGAAATTAGTGAGATTCCACACAAAAGAGTTCATCAGTGCAACACAGGAGTATGGCTCGGCAGTTAGGCATGGTAACATAACATCCCTTCTCAAAACAAGCTGAACTCAAGACAATCAGCACATCCTGTCTTTGCACTACACAGCCTGCAAGGCTCAAGTGCAGCTGCCAAAAATGGCAAAGTATTAGGGAAAGGGAGAGGGTAAGATACTTAAAAAATACAGATGCAGATAAATATTGTGCTTTAACAGCAGTTATGTATAGGATACAAACAAAAATCAAGCATAAAGAAGGAAAACCATACATCACACTCTGCAAATTAGTAACAGAAGGAAAGCAAGCTCACAGTCTTAAACAGGTTGGCTTATTATAAATCTCTATGAAACATGACTTGAAAAGCAAGGAATGGCTATTGTGCGTCTCTTACCAGTGCTGTGACATCCTTTGTAAACTGTAGCTAGCAGGAAATAGGAAAACATAGCACAAGCTGCTTACTAAAGACAGAACCATGTTGTCACATTGATGCTGGAAACGGCAAGCTAAAACTACATCTATACTGATTTCTCTGGAAGGTACCAAGAGAAGTAAAGGGCAGTGAGGCATAAAGAGGAACTTCTGTACCCCTTCTGAGCATCTCTTTCATAGGCTTTTATGTGGTTCTTATTTGATTTGTTTACCACTCTTGAAAGCAGAATACATCTGGTGACACATCCCTGATAGACACTTTCTTCAACATGCACTGCTGTCTGGTAAATGTGCCACCAAGCTTCCCTTCAACATGAGCAGTGCTGATGCCTCTCATTTCCCCTGAGCAGCTCCAGAACACGAAATGAATACACTATTATGCATTTAAAAATTCATACAACCTCTTCCTTCCCTGGTAAATCAGAGCACAACCACAAGCTATCAGCTGACTACAGCTACCTCTGCTGTCTGATTGGGGGGAAATAACTCTTTTGTTAAGTAAATTTTGCTCAAAAATTAAGATCTTTCAGCATTACATGATTATAGTGTTTCATTAGTTTATGAAATAACTGACTACACATAAAAACATTAATTGCGTCCAGAATAAAGCTTATAGTGGCAATGAATATTGAAGAACATAGCCCGGAATATGGTGGGAAATAAAAGCCAAGTCTACAAAAGAAAACACGCACACTGTAATATTTTTATGGCATGAACACCATCAATCAGAACATGTAGTTTACACCTTGGGTCTGTGCGTGGACATAACAGGCTTTTTCATGTTGATTATGCCCTCGCTCTTCTGTGACAGGAAGTGTCTGAAAGAGAAGCATCCTAGACTGCCTTATGCCGTACCTCCTACAGCTGTTTGCGTGCTCTTGTTACATGCCAGCTAAAAGGGAGAGCTGGTCCCCAGAGCCAGAGGTGTGGGCAAGTTGGTAAGCTTCTGAAAATCTAGACTAGAACACATTGTGAAACTTGAAGAGAAAATACAAAGCCACCCGAAACCACCCCCAGAGGTTTTAACACGCTTGGGAAACACTGTTCTATAATTTAAAGGTAACTATTCAAATTTGGAGAGGAATATTATCTACTGAATACATAAAAACTTTTATATTCTTTCTTTTAATATTTTATTATTTTTTGTTTTATGTGTATGTGTGTATTGCCATTATGTATGTAAGTACACCAGTGTCATGCAATGCCCGCAGAGGACCGAAGAGGCTGTCAGAGCCCCTGGAACTGGAGTTTCAGACAGTTGTTAATTGCTATGTGGGTGCTGGGATTCAAACCCGGGTCTTCTGCAAGAAGAGTCAGTGTTCTTAACCGCTGAGCCATCTCTCCAGCCCTGTATTCTTTATAAATATCTAAAAACTCCTTTATAGAAATTCTAAACACTAAATTTGGGGCTGAATGCTAGTCCAAAATCCATGGAGAAATAACAGCACCTTAAGGTCACTGTAGTTCAACATATCTCACTGGCCAGTTAGGGTCATACCAGAGAAAAACTCGGGACTATGTATGGCAATTCTGAGTGGAATGACACGTGACCCAAGTTCCAAATAATATTGCGAAAGAAAATTAGGAATAGACAATGCTCAGTTACAAAATGTTTTTCTCCCATGATACCTAAGGAATGCTTGAGACTACATCAGATAGGAAGTATTCACAGGGGTGGGTAATCTGCAAAGGATCAAAATATGCAGTTCTTTGAGATTAATGAACATCAATACTGAGAAATGATTTTACAGTCTCAGAAGACAGAACTGAGAATTCTAACTTGCTTGTGTCTGTGGCTGTGTTGTGCTTTCTCTGTGAGCTTGGTTACATGGTATGAAATCCTTCATCAGGGTCCAACCTATTGGGGAATCAGTCATCAGGGTCCAACCTATTGGGGGATCTCTGAATTATCATTGGACATCAATTAAATGGCAAGAAGAAAAATATTTAAACAATTTATTCTTATATAATGATGCCAATTTATATCTTTACATAATGATATCAAGCCATCCTATATTAACAAATTTACCTGAAGGCCAGGCGTGGTACATGAATCTTTAATCCCAGCACTCTGGAGGCAGAGGCAAGTGGATCTCTATGAGTTTGAGGTCAGACTGGTCTATATAGCGAGTTCTATGACATCCAGAGTCACACAGATAAACCCTTTCTCAAAACAAAAAACAAAAACAGAAACAAAACAAAAAAGTTTGCCTAGAATTATATGACCATTGCCATCAATGTCATTAAGAATTGCTTCTTTAGCTATAAATACATATTTTTAAAATTTTAAACCCCAAATGAACACTTTACAATAGATATAGGTGGTTTTGATGGATACAGACAATTATTTTCCCAAAACAGAGTACAGCCAAAAAGCTTATGCCATTGGTTGTTTTCACTTAGCCCATTAAAAATATTTTAAGCCAGGTATGGTGGTGCACGCCTTTAATCCCAGCACTTGGGAGGTAGAAGCAGGTGGATCTTTGTGAGTTTGAGGCCAGCCTGTCTACATAGTGAGTTCCAGGAAAGCTGGGGCTACAGGGAGACCCTGTCTCAAAAAGACAAAATAATAATAATAATAATAATAATAAATTAATATATTTTAATATTTTTATTTTATGTATATGAATGTATTGCCTATATGTGTGTATGTATGTGTGTAAGTGTACCCATGTCATGCAATGCCCATGGAGGTCAGAAGAGGGCACTAGATTTCCCTGGAACTGGAATTATAGATGGTTGTTAGCTGCCACGTGGGTGCTAGGAATTGAACCTGGGTCCTCTGTTAAGAGCAGCCAGTGCTCTTAACTGCTGAGCCATCTCTCCAGCCCCCATTTAGCCCTTTTAAAAATATTTATTTTGGTCTTTTGAGACAGGGTCTCCCTGTAGCCTCGGCTGGTCTGGAACTCACTATGTAGACCAGGCTGGCCTTGAACTCAGAGATCCTCCTGCCTCTGTCTCCCAGGTGCTGGATTGAAGGGCATGCACCACTGCGCTCGGCTTGGCCCCTTTTTAAAATACCGCCCACCCTCTTTCTTGGACTCTTTACTCTTGTACTAATTTTTATATCTCATGGTGGTTTAAAAGCTTGTACTTTAGGGGCTGGAGAGAAGGCCCAGTGGTTGAGAGCACTGAGGTTGCAGAGGACCCAATTTCGATTCCCAGCACCCACATGGCAGCTAACAACTGTCCATAACTCCAGTTCCAGGGGATCTGACCAACACCCTCTTCTAACCTCGAAGCATGACATGAGTGCACTTGCATACATGCAGGGAATATGCTCATACACATTAAATAAAAATAAATAAAAGCTTGTACAGAATAGCAGCAGCTCTGTTTACCTATCAGATAAAAACATCAAATGTGCTGGGGGCAAGGTGGTGAAAGTGAACCCACGGAACTCTTCATCTGAGATTTGAATTGTGAAGTCATATTAGGTACCATTAATAAACATTAATAGTTTGGATGTTAAGTATAGAAACCATGCTGAATAGTACCTAAATGATCATGAAGAAATTGTTCAGAGCACTTATTTTTAAATGTTATTTATTTTTATTTTATGTGCATGAGTCTTTTTTGTAGCAGCTATGTGGGTCACATGCCTGCAATGCCTGAAGAGGCCAGCAGAGGGCATCAGAGGCTTACAGACAGCTGCTAAGTCACCATGTGGGTGTTGTCAACTGAACCCTGAGCAGCCAGTACTCTTCCCTGCTGAGCCAGCCATCTCTTCTGCACCCTCAGAGAAGTTTTTAGTAGTCACATCAAATCCACTTTTACCATGCTTATACTAGTTAATGGTTTTGTTTTGTTTTGTTTTTTTTAAAACAAAGCAGGGTGTGGCCTGGTCTACAAAGAGAGTTCCAGGCCAGCTGGGGCTATAGGGAGACCCTGTCTCAAAATGAGCACCCCCTCCCAAAAATTGAGTATGGTGGCACATGCTTGCAATTCAAACACTTGGGAGGCGGAACAGGAAGAATCAAGAGTTCAAGGCCATCCTTAGCTCCATAATGAGTCTGAGGCTAGAAAACAAATTAAATGCTCTGCAGAGTAAAGAGATAAAAATTCTTGCCTACACTAGTTCATCTTTAACTAGCTAACTTAACGCCATCATCTATGAAAAAGGTAACAGTAATCTCATGTCTACAGCATGGCAGAACTCAAGTTCCCCACGCAAGCAGCCTGTGAACATGGTCAGCCGCACTGTGCAGCTTGATTTAGTGACTAACAGACAACCTCCAACTGGGAAACAAAACTGTTTTGATTTTAAATAAAATGAATGCTTTTATTTTGTTAATGATCCCTTAAAATTATGAGTCTAAGACATCATAGACTAGAATATTTTTAGAAAATACAGCTCAAATGATGCCCAGGAGCCCTATCACTAGCACGGATTTAAAAACAAGAAATTAATCTTAATTTTACTTCATGCTTTTCAATGCCACTGTCATCTATAATATGTGAAATCTATCATTACAGTCTCATCTTTCTATAAGCCAGGTTTTAAACCAACTAAATTTCCTGTGCCACCTCTTAAGAGATGAGCTGAGCATTTTGGGGACAATTTGGTCCATGCATCATCTCAAGAAGCAAAACCTCCACAAACTACCTAATGTGCTGTTACCCAGACAAGCCTGGCATCTCCAGAGGGAAATGATTTTCACAGTGGCTATCAAAATGCTTGTGTCACTTTACAATGAATATACAGTATCACAGGGACAAATGCATCTTTAAAAGGTTATCTCTTGAGTAACACGTTGAAGATCAGTGTGAGTACTTAGGCAACTTCTGAAGGCCCTTGTGAGATATTTTAACTACCTAATCTGCACCAGAGACAAAGTATTTATATATAAGGCTAAAAAACCCCTCCTGTGCATATTTATAACAGCTCCAAAAATAACACCTGTAGATAATTCCACAAAATTATGCTTCAGAAGAGCTGCTACATCCTAAAGTCCTTCATAGAACAATGTCTCTTACATATTAATTAAATGTTACATAGACACTCTTTATTTCCTAATGAATTAAAATGTGAGTTAAAGCTAGGTATAAAAGTAGAGTTTTCTTTTATTACTAAGGGCATGCACTTTTAATTTATAACTAAAATAACTTCTAAAACATGTCTTAAAAAATAATTTCATGGTGCTGGAGAGATGGCTCAGCAGTTAAGAGCACTGACTGCTCTTGCAGAGGACCCAGGTTCGATTCCCAGCACCCACATGGAGGCTACGAACTGTCCAGGGGAATCCGAAGCTCTCTTCTGACCTCCACAGCATTGCATGACATGGGTGCACTCACATATATGCAGGCAATACACTCATACACATTAAATGAAAATAATAAATAAAAATATTAATAAATAAATAAATTTCACATTAGAGTCCACCATAACCAATACTGGTGAGTCTATGTCTGCTCATGTCATCCCTATATTTACAACACTTGGTACTCTTATCTATACTTACTGTAAATAAAATAGAAGGTACATTAACCTAATTTACCACTGATCATACCATTTCACTAAGTGGTTTTCTGTCCTTCCTCTATCATACAACAGACAGTGATGGAATTCTCTATTCAAGTCCCAACGTAGAAAGTTAGGCAGTCTGTACAACGAGCCAGTTCCTGTTCCCAGTAAGGAAGAAGTGCGCTTAAGAAGCCGATTCTGTGTTCAAGTCTTCAGACCCTAGCCCTCACTACATCCATACAGCACCTCTAAGGACTTTGCATCCACAGAGCATTAGAGAAGGGTCTACTTCCAGTCCAGTGACTCGGAGCCATGGGCTTCGCTCACAGAGCTGTCACTCCGTTACTATACGCAATCATCTGAATATGAATCTACAACTACCTCTCTATATGCCCAAGAAAACTCCTGCAGAGCAACATCTTCCTTGGGCCTCCCCAGCCCCAGATGGTGCACCTAAGAAGACTGTTCTGTGATCAGTAACAGGTCGTTCCTAGCAAAGCCAGTGTGCCTTAAAGAGTTGAGCTCCATGGATTTCAGTTGAGTTTACATTTTATATGTCAGTGAATAAACGGAATCAGTATGGCTTTCTTTAGTGACTTGTTTTAAATTATTTAAACTCTTAATTGGCATAAATTCAAACTATGTTCCGTGTTTGGTTGAACTTCGCTGTAAGTGAAAAGCAGTCACTGAAAGGAGGCTGTGCTGCTCCCTGCATCTGTTGCTGGGCAACGTGTAGGTGAAAGGGCTTTGCTCACCATCTGAAAAGTCCACTGAAAGTATTTTCTTAGTGAAATTTATATTTTGATCATCTTTTTACCTTCAGTAATATTTAGGCTTAGGACGTAAATATTCCATTAAACTCATTTCCTTTCTAAAAGTAGCAATTTTTTTAGATCAAATGCTTAGGTTTTCAACTACGTTGTTTCATTTCCTCAATATATTTCCTATGAAGCTGTATCTGCCACTCACAGTGACCCTCTAAAGGAATGAGTTAGTTCTGTTAACAAAACTGCTAGGTCAATTTATAACAGAAATATTTGTAAGAAAATTAAGGAACAACCTTCATAAAACTTCTATCATATTAAAAAAAAATCCTAATTCCTAAGAAGATGCATGTACATCCTGAACTTTGGTCAAAGACCCCTGTGATGCAGTTTGGCCAAACGCTCCAGAAGTTTTTCCTAAGGGGTAGCATTAAGAGCTCACTTAGAACTAGAAAACATTCTCATATCACTTAACTCTAAATAGTCAAAAATAAGCCTCTTTGATTTTCTAAAAGGTAGGAAATTTCAAATTCTGCGAAATAAACCAGGGAAGCTTTTACTTCTAGAAACTTTTTTTGATGCAATTCACCTTCATTTCAGAATTATTTTTATTGATATTCATGTTTACAAAATAATTGACATTTGAATAAAACTTACCACTTGGAGAATATCTTCATCTTTTGGCATAACACTGAGTTCCAATGTTGTATCACTGAAATTGAACACACATATATTATCAAAGGAGGAGGGAGTGTAAGAAAAATTTAATTAAAAAAAACTCAGAAATGTTTTTAAATTGTTTAGGAGTCTATTTATTAATCTTTACTTTCAAAACCAAATCAAAAGAAAGAAAGTCAGTACTACACAGGCAAGTAATGCACAAAAGAAGGTACCCTCGTGTGTTTGTGCTGTTCGTACTCAGGTACATCATCTCTACAGTGTGCTGCCTATCCAAAAATACAGAGCGTGTTATAGCAAATAGTTCCAGGAAAAATTCATAGCAACATCAGAATACAAGTCTTTATTGTTTTATTTAAGCCATAAGAAAAATTACAGACTTTTATCACACAGCCCATATAACAACTTAAAACTTACTAGCACAAAGCTGGGCGTGGTGGCGCAGAGGCAGGAGAGATATCTGTGAGTTCAAGGGCATGGTAGAGACAGAGGCAGGCGAATATCTGTGAGTTCTAGGCCAGTCTGGTCTACATCTTGAGTTCCAAGACAGCTGGGGCTACAGGAAGACTCTGTCTCAAAAAGACAAAAAAAAAAAAACAAACCTCAAACAAACAAACAAAAAACTTACTAGCACAAAATAACCAAAGCTCTTCTATTCTCTTCTATTTGCTGTTGTGGCTGTTTTTAAGATCTGGGGACTGAACTATAGCTTCTACAACTGAGCTATCCATAGTCCCTCAAATTTAATGCTTTAAGCAACTTTAAACATATCCTCATTTTTTCAAATATTCTGTCTTGGCCTCAGAGGTAAGAGAAATTCATCACCATTACTAAAATGACTCATCTTTAACAAGTGTAACAGCATCATCCTAACTGGTTTTATCCCCATGATTTAACTTCAGAACTTTACAGGAACAACTTAGTCTTTTCATTTAGGCACTGTGAATTTCTGTTACATGTGACAGGGAAGGTCTCTGATTTAAGAAGCTGCAAAGGGAGCATCTGCCAGGCCTGGATTTTGTCCCCAGTACAGGAAAAAAAGCAGAGAAGGATGGAGGGAGGAAAGCGCAGGGGGACATTAAACTTAATCCTGTGACCTGGATTCAGATACAGCAAGGATAGTCCTGAAACAGCACTGTTTAGATGGAGAGAGTCCCATCTAAACAGTCCTATTTCCCTCTAATGTACTCCAAAGACTAAGAAACAATCCAGCACAAAGTAGAAAAAAGTCCCAAATTCAGTCAATTACCTGTGTCTCTTTTTGGTAGATTTGAGCCATTCTTTTTAGGTTCATAAATTCTAGGAAGATAGCAAACCACTGAGAACTACAGGTCTAAACATACTTAACTAGCAACAATGGAGGACCCTGTATTTCAATATTCGGAGTTAGTAAAAAAATACATACTGAGCCGGGTGTGGTGGCACACGCCTGTAGTCCCAGTACTCGGGAGGCAGAGGCAGGCAGATCTCTGTGAGTTCAAGGCCAGCCTGGTCTACATAGTGAGTTCCAAGACAGCTGGGGCTACAGGGAGACCCTGCTTCAAAAAGACAAACAAACAAACAAACAAACAAAAAACATACTGATGTATAGGAAAACCCTTCTAAAAATTTCCATGCTAACGCACTGCAGCACCTCAGTGGTTTTGGCTGCTTTATCTATTTGCTGCCAACTGTAGACAAGAGTGCAATTTTCTAAAAGATAATAAGAGAATTAAAAAAAAAAAAATCCACACCTTTGGGATGGTCTGCATAGCAAGTTCCAGGCCACCTGGGGCTACACAGTAAGACTGTCTCAAAAAACAAAACAACCTGCTGGGCATGGTGGTGCACATCTTTAGTACCCAGCACTCGGGAGGCAGAGACAGGCAGATCTCTCTGAATTCAAGGCCAGCCTGGTCAGTGAATCCAGGCCAGTTGTGAGACCCTGTCTCAAAAAGAACCCCCCCTCCCAAATTCAAAACAATAAAAACCCTCTTCTCCCCCCGCCTCCACCCTAAAAACAAAAAAAACAACCAACCAGCATCTCTAATTTTCAAATTACTTTTATTGGCTGAAAAGTTGAGCCTATCACTCTTGTGTTATTACTCTGGAAAACCTACAACTGTAATAGGCAAATTATGTAGATTTAGGAGGAAGCAAAGATTAAGCTGCATTTCAGTGTGCTGGTGCTTTTACAGTGATCTCAGTTACTGGGAGGAAGGGCAACCGTGGGCAGCTCTTCCGCTACCTCCATCATCAACATTAGATTTAAGAGATTTGTTTTCTCTAAGAATTTTATTAGATGTTTATAAATATCAGAAAGAACATTCTGAGATCAAGTAATCATGACATCTAATTGTAAAAAAACAAAAAAACAAAAAACCTCACATAGGTAGAATAGATAACTATAGCACAAACTGCTTTAGACATGACTAGAGACCCTTGATAAAAACCTTTAGGGGCTGTGGAGAGAGCTCATCCAGAGAAGTGTGTGCTAGGCAAGCATAAAGCCTCGACTGCCAGAAGTGGTAATGTGCACTCATGATCCCTGGGCTGGAGAGGGGGTAACAGGAGATCATTGGCCAGCCAGTCTTGTCTAATCGGTGAGCTCTAGGCCAAGAGAAACCCTCCTCAGAGGAGGTGCACAGTGCTCCTGAGGGTGACACTCAAGGCTGTCCTTTCGCCTCCATACTCATGTGTATGCACTGTCCCACACACTTAAAAACAAAAACCCAAAATTTTATAAAATAAAGAACTTCAGTTGAATTATAGACAGGAAAGTAAAGCTAAAAGGAACCATTAGTTAATCCAAAAGTGGATTTGAATCTGGGGAACCCCTTAGAACAGAGATATGATCTGGAATAACACTCAAACTCATGACATATTCTTTACAGAAACCCAACATTGTGACCTCTTTGACTTTGGAATCTTTTAAGTTCTGTTACTCAAATTTTTTTAGGTATGCAGATAAAAGAAACTGAGTAAGACCAAATTTCCTTTGTGATCCCACAGATAGTCACTCTACAAATATGTATTTACCTCTTTTTAAAATTTGTTTTTATTTTATGTGTATAAGTGTTTTGCTTACATGTATGTAAACGCACCCATGTATGCAAAGAGGCCAGAAAAGGGCATTGGATCCCCTGGAACTGGGGATTCAGACAACAAAGTTGTTAGGCACCATGTGGGTGATGGGAACCAAACTCTGGTCCTCTGCAAGAGTAGCCAGTGCTCCTAACCACTGAGCCGACTCTGCAGCCCCAATATATATTTACCTTTAGAGCTCAAAATTCTATTACTCTGTAGAATAAGGCAAAAGATTAAAAGAGAGTATCTTGCTGAACTGCTAAAACAAATGAATAAATTTAAGCCGAGAATTTTATTCAAAAAGACTGTTCAGTAAAATACATTTTAAAGGTATCTCAGTAAGAGATTAAAAAAAAAAGTATGCATTTATAAAAATGTGTGCCTTTCAAATCCCAAAGGTCTGGCATGGAGAACCTGACAATTTATAAACAAGGCCACTAAGGGCTCAGGTGCTGCAGCCCAGCAGCACGGGATGCATTATCTGTACAGCAAAGTTCTGCATCACCACAGCTCCTTACAGGAATGCAGCACTGTATGACACCTACTTGCTCTCTAGATTTTAGCCAAAATTAATCATGTTTCAGGAATCTTACCTGTTCTGAATTAGCGCAATTACTTGGGAATAGGTCTTTCCTATGACACTCTCTCCGTTGACTTTTATAATTCGATCACCTTCAAAGAAGAGTAAAAGAAAAGAAACAAAAAGGCAAAAAAAAAAAAACAAAAAAAAAAAAAAACAACAAAAAAAAAACACATGAGGAACTCCAAAAGAATTCAATTTTGAGTTATGAAATAGCTCCTGAGACTGTCCCTGCCTTCCAATTCTGTGTTGGTGACACAGGGGATCAGTCCCTGAGGGCCCTGTGAATGCCAGACAAGCACTTGCTGGCAAGCACTTGAGTTCCACCCCCAGCCCCAACAATGTCATTACTTTTAATATCTACTTGTTTATTTTTATAATATTTTATTTATTATTTTTATTTTATGCATATAAGTGCAGCCTGAATTAAGTGCAATGCCTGTGGAGGTCAGAAGAGGACATCAGATCCCCTAGAACTGAAGTTATAGACGGTTCTTAGCTGCCATGTGGATGCTGGGTTCAGCACTTAACCACTGAGTAATCTCTCCAGGCCCTTACTTGATTTTTTTTTTTAAGTACCTACTACAAAAATTAATCTAACTTCTGACAGATCCAACTTCTTACAAAGTCTAGTGACATTCTAAATAAGAATTCTAGATACTGATGAACTCAGAAACTTCCAATGATACAGTCAGGTGAGTACAGCATCCTACTCACAACCTGTAAGTTGTTTTCTGAGCTGCTGCAGTTCTGATCCCTCCTCCACTTACCTGGTTATTTCTGGGAAGGAAAATCATTCATCTGGTTAAAGACCTCATTGTCTTTACTTCTTCAGTGTCATCTAATTTTATTCAGTGAGGTTTTCTTTCAGTGCTCTTCCAATCTATATATTTGGCTAACTGCTGGTGTCTGTGGAAATAACTTTTCTGGGAATGCCTTCTGTTACAACTGGAAATTTTGCCTAAGCTTGTAACCAAAGTTAACCCTATATTTTGAAATCATTTAACACAATCTATTCAGTCCGCCTTCCTACTGTGTAATCAGCTTATTTAAATCTAGGTAGCCTTTAGGAAAACAATGTAAACAGTCTTAGGAGACCTTGGGCTCCTCTTGTAATCAACTTTTACAAGCTAAGCTAAACACACAGCTTTAATCTTAAACAGTGTTTCCTATTTCTCCCTTATGACCCTTCCTTATCCCCAATCCAGAACCATGTTTACGTGCATGTGCATGTGGAGCCATGCTGCAAGCAGGAGCACTGAGCACAGTTATGCCCAGCTTGTACTGCTAACAGCATGAGGGACTAGGGTGAAAACATCTGTGGTTTTGTATGCTGTTCTAGGTCAGCAGGGGTCTGAAAAGGGAAATTCTTCCCTGATAGACAAGGTTCCTCATTTCCTTCAGATGTCATACTGGATATGCTGTTTAAATAAAGAAACAGAGTATGCTCTGAAAACAGATTGGTTCACTCTCAGTTTGGACAGAGTAGGGCTGCCTGTTCAGGTACTGCCACACTGGGTGTCTCTGCCAGAGTCTGTGCTGTAAAACTTGAATACAGTGTATATTTTTACTTTATGCCTATCAATTTGTTATTTTGTTGTAAAAAAGATATTGGATTACTCAGAAAAACTGAGAGGAATAGAAAGAAAAACAAAGGACAGAGAAAGGAAAATAGAAAAAAAATGTGGTTTTGCTGTGCTTAAAGCATTGTCCACTTATATTCTCAACTTTGCAACATTTGGAATATGACATGACACATTCTATCTAACAGAATCATACATATTGTACATGTTAATGATATTAAAATTAGAGTTATAATGAAAAAGATGATTACAATGCATCCTAGCAAATCTTGGCAATGACACCGCTACTTATTTGTAGATAAAAATATACCTTATTCCAAGGGGAGTAAAAGAAGTTTTCTGTTGATTCCTAGTTTAAATTGTTTTATGGATAAAAACATGAGAAAAGAACAGAGTTTGCTAATCTTTGCTCTTAATTTAATTTTTATTATAGTAAAAATTGAGTTAAGAGGAGATAGTAGTATCAAATTGCTATTATATCCAGCTAAGAAGACCACATCCAGGGGTGCCTGGAAACCTCTGCCATTCTTTGTGCTACAAATTACTTCCTTACTACCTGATTGGGCACTTCCAGAAGCAGGAGATGGCAAGATTATTTCAATAAACAAACAAACAAATAAATAAAGCTCTTTCTAAGTTTGTAATTTTGTAATCCTTTGTAAAAATTCAATGCCTGAAAGAGTTCTTCAAAAGAGCCTCCAAATCTGGGTGTAAACACAAGTGTCCATAATTTATCAAGTTACATTGTTACATACATTCACAGAGTATCAAACATATAACTATCTCAAAACAGTAATTACACATGTGAAGAAAAAGACAGGCATGTAGGATAGAAAAGGGAAAAATACAGAACACAAACATGTAGAAGAAGAAACAAAATAAAAATGAATCCACAAGACACTGAAGATTTCATGGCACCTGTGCACAGTCCAGCCTCAAAAGCAGGTCCTCCCTCTTTAACTTGTTTAACAAATATGGTATCCATTGGTTCCAAACGGTTTCTTTGTTTTCCTATAAAAGAGAGGGGAAAAAAAGGCAGGGGCATGGTTTTATTTTATAGTATTTTATTAAACCTCCAAAGGTAAAATGATATTTGATTGAAACAACAGAGCAGAGATTTTTCATAAACTGCTGAACACACATCCTGAAGTGGATGCTAAAATTATACCGCAGGGTGTTCGTTAACTCAAATATGTACTTGCTTCTTCCATAACCAATGACAACCACAATACTTTTTGATGGTTTCCATTTACGGAGTGTATTCTGTGTAACAGCGACTATATTATGTGCCATGTGTACCTTCATACTCCTAATTTCCACAGCGAATGATTAGAATGACCAGAGCATAGACGAGACCTAGGGAGATTGAACAGATTTTCCAAAGTTATGGAGCTAACAAATGTTAAAGCTCCTTACACAGGCAGTGCCCCAACTACTGCTTTTTAATGCTGAACTGAGCTAAGCATTAAAGACATTCCTTTCCTCCCAGGGCTGTTGGGAAGATATAAATAAACAACAGGATAGTCCAAAAACCATGCAAAGACAAATGTGAAATGCTGTCTTGGCAATGAAGAGAACTCTAATGCAGTCTCTTCGATCCATGGATCATCTGTGTGGATATCTGAAGTACTTATGAAAAATGAATGTTCTAATGTCTAAACAAAAATATGCTAACAAGTTTCCCAGGTAATGCTGACATACAACTAAAATGTGAGCATAACTAAGAGGTTCAGTGAAATACATGTCATGGAAAAATTCACACATCAGCCGAGTAACAAATACCATAATTGGTACCGTGTGGTTACAGAAAGATTGACAGTAGTTCTCAAGTATGGTCTCCAGACCAACAGCATCAGCTCCACATGGCAATGTGCTAGAAATGCAGATCTGTGGACTGGCTCGAGACACACTGACTTGGACACTACTGCTCATTACACAGTAACACTGGGAGGCGTGCACACACAGAGCGCACACACAGTAATACACTACCACTCATCACACATTAACACTGGGAGACGTACACGTACAGCGCACACGCACAGTAATACACTACCACTCACTACACAGTAACGCTGGGAGGCATGCACGTACAGAGCACACACACACAGTAATACACTACCACTCACTACACAGTAACGCTGGGAGGCGTACACGTACAGAGCACACACACACAGTAATACACTACCACTCACTACACAGTAACGCTGGGAGGCGTACACGTACAGAGCACACACACACAGAAATACACTACCACTCACTACACAGTAACGCTGGGAGACGTACACGTACAGAGCACACACACACAGAAATACACTACCACTCACTACACAGTAACGCTGGGAGGCGTACACGTACAGAGCACACACACACAGAAATACACTACCACTCACTACACAGTAACGCTGGGAGGCGTACACGTACAGAGCACACACACACAGAAATACACTACCACTCACTACACAGTAACGCTGGGAGGCGTACACGTACAGAGCACACACACACAGAAATACACTACCACTCACTACACAGTAACGCTGGGAGGCGTACACGTACAGAGCACACACACACAGAAATACACTACCACTCACTACACAGTAACGCTGGGAGGCGTACACGTACAGAGCACACACACACAGAAATACACTACCACTCACTACACAGTAACGCTGGGAGGCGTACACGTACAGAGCACACACACACAGAAATACACTACCACTCACTACACAGTAACGCTGGGAGGCGTACACGTACAGAGCACACACACACAGAAATACACTACCACTCACTACACAGTAACGCTGGGAGGCGTACACGTACAGAGCACACACACACAGAAATACACTACCACTCACTACACAGTAACGCTGGGAGGCGTACACGTACAGAGCACACACACACAGAAATACACTACCACTCACTACACAGTAACGCTGGGAGGCGTACACGTACAGAGCACACACACACAGAAATACACTACCACTCACTACACAGTAACGCTGGGAGGCGTACACGTACAGAGCACACACACACAGAAATACACTACCACTCACTACACAGTAACGCTGGGAGGCGTACACGTACAGAGCACACACACACAGAAATACACTACCACTCACTACACAGTAACGCTGGGAGGCGTACACGTACAGAGCACACACACACAGAAATACACTACCACTCACTACACAGTAACGCTGGGAGGCGTACACGTACAGAGCACACACACACAGAAATACACTACCACTCACTACACAGTAACGCTGGGAGGCGTACACGTACAGAGCACACACACACAGAAATACACTACCACTCACTACACAGTAACGCTGGGAGGCGTACACGTACAGAGCACACACACACAGAAATACACTACCACTCACTACACAGTAACGCTGGGAGGCGTACACGTACAGAGCACACACACACAGAAATACACTACCACTCACTACACAGTAACGCTGGGAGGCGTACACGTACAGAGCACACACACACAGTAATACACTACCACTCACTACACAGTAACGCTGGGAGGCGTACACGTACAGAGCACACACACACAGTAATACACTACCACTCACTACACAGTAACACTGGGAGGTGTGCACGTACAGCACACACGCACACAGTAATACACTACCACTCACTACACAGTAACGCTGGGAGGTGTACACATAGAAAGAATTCTTAACTGCTGCCATATAAAACTGAAAACCATTGTGCAACCATTGTACACAAGAAGTTTCTCAATAACAGGTATTGATCGGTTGCTACTGTTCACACCTAGCTCTGCACTCTGAAAGAAGCTTGATAACGCAACAATAGATCACTCGACTACCTAAGCCATCGTAGCGGCAGTCGTTTCTGATTCAGAAGTCAGTAGATATGGGTTCAAATCCTTGCTTTCCCGCTGGAAATATTCTGTATTTACTTGTATTCACAGAATTACATTTTTACTTGCTCCCACATTCACTGTGTCTCCCCCTCAAGCAGAGGGCAGGGAGTCTGTCACACAATCTCTATAGCAATGCTCACCTACAGCAATGTCTGAATTAATGAACATACTTATTGTCTAGTTCAACTCACACAAGCCTTCAAGGTAGGCATTATGATCCAAAAGTTATCATTTGAATGAGGAGAAATCAGAAGCTAAATAACTTACAAAGAGTCAGAGTAGGATGTGAGCCCAAGTCTGAATTCCAATGTGGTATTCTCAGTAACCAAAATCAATCTATTTGCCAGGTTTTACTGAACACAAGTCCACTTACAATTAGTCATGAACTACACAATGATGTTTGGCCAATGGCAGGTTGAATATACAATGGTGGCTACACCCTATAGCCCAGGTATGGAGAGGTCATGCCATCTGTTTTTGTTTTTTCTTTGTGGTGCTGGGGATGGAAACCAGGGCCCTTTGTATTCCAGGCAAGAGCTTTGCCAATGAACAGGTTTGTGTAAGGGCACACTATGATGATGACACAATCACAGAACTGCCCCAGTACTGCTCAGAATGAACTGCCTCTGCTCAGGGATGCATGGCTGTAGTTTATGAGATAAAGTTATATTTTCAATTAAAGTCACTCAAAATGCAAACACTGAATCTTAGTCAACTTGGTAATTAGACTAGATCCCTTGTGACCAACTCAACATTTACAATGGTTGGCATTAAAGGAAAACTACTTTTGACTAGAGATCTGAGAGTTCAGTAAGGTTTTTTTTTCTTCTTTTAACCAAAATATTGCTTGGTTTCACAGAAAGGTTTATAGAATAAAAAATGTTTTTTCTTATTGATCTTTTCTAGTCCACCATGTCTTGTTTAAAATTATAAAAGTAAATGAGTATTGAAGAATTCTACAAAATAATAAAAAGTGAGTTGGGTAGTGATGTGGTAACCTCTGAAAAATCCTGGTAGAAGAGTTCACTTTCACAGAAGACAGATGCTCCAAAATTATTTGGTGCTAAGCTCTACAAAGGAAATACTAACTTTGCAATGGCCTGTGTTGTAAAGTCAATCTGTCACTGACAAATCTGTCATCACACAATACCTAAAACTACATGAAGATGTGAATAGACCGAGAAAGGGGCCAGTTGTCTCTTAAGCACTATCATGTCTGCTCAGAGTCATGCTTTTTTGATTCTTGTTCATTTGCCTTTCTTAACTTTTTTCCTCAATTACATCTGGATCTTATACAATTCCTTTTACACAAAAGAAAAGTATGCCTTAAGTAACCCTGACTTTGAGTCTTAAGTTCAGCATTTGGTTTGTTCATTTTAACAATATCTTTACACATACACACACACACACACACACACACACACACACACACACGGTCTGCAATTCTGTTTGAACTTGATCTACCTGTAGTTCCAATATTTGGGAGGTAGAGGCAGAAGGACCCTGAGTCTGAGGCCAGCCTGGTCTACAGAGAAAACCTTGTCTAAATAAATAAATAGAGGTTAAAGAGGTGGCTCAGCAGGTAAAGTGCTTGGAGTCGTGAGGACTTGAGTTTAATCTCCAGTGTCCATATTATGAACGGTCCTTAACTCCAGTTCCAGGGTAATCTGAAGCCCTCTTCTGACCTCTGCAGCATTGCACGACATGGGTGCACTCACATACATGCAGACAATACACTCATAAAATAAAAATAATAAATAAAATATTTTTTTTTAAAGCTGGACATGGCAGCACACCTGTAATCCCAGCACTGGGGAGGGCAGAGACAGGTGGATCTCTGAGGCCTGCCAAGCTGAAATTGTGAAAGATAACGTAATACAATAATAATAATAAGGGGAAGACCAGAAACTGAGAGGAGAGAGGGGACATGGGAGGCGCTGCTGGGGGCAGGGGGGGGAGAGCAGTAGAAATAATGTAATCATGCAGCTTATGTATAAAATTCTCAAAAATAAAATATAAATTTAAAATAAACACTTTAAATAGCAAGGCGGGAAGCAAGAGAAGGCACCCCACACAGACTTGGGCCTCCATCCACATGGGTGAACAACCCCCCCCTGCA